CTCTGGCAAGCCTCAGAGCTGGAGAGTAACATAGCAACCCCTATTCAAAGCTAAGGGGCAGAATAAATCAGCACATTTGTCCTTCTCCAGAGCAGAGAAGGTCCCCTGCCAGTGCCAAGAAGGAATGGGAACAAAGAACCTGGCAGTCCCCTCCATTTTGAAATGCCAGACAGGATTAGGGAAGGCAGCTGAATCAGTTCATTTCTGGCAGATGGAGAAGAGGCTGAGGAAAGACAGGTCCAGAGGACAGATGAAAGTCGTCCACAGGACTCACCAGGCTTTAGGTGGGAAGTGGCCCTGGGGTTTTTCTCTGGGCCTTCTTCTGGGGCCAATGTGTTGGGTAAAAAGCCCTCCCAGGGCACCATGAGGGAGATGGGTACAGAACAAGGGTTGAGGTAAAGGACAAGGATGTGAGAAGACACAGGAGGATGCAGAGATTCATGGGTGGTTGGGCAGCTGCAAGCAAGGCTCAAACTGCACCCAATTCTGCCTCTTCATCATGGCACCTCTCAAGCGGGCACAAAACAATGGCTGGCTTTCAACAGCACAGTCACCACAACAGCAGGCAAGGGCAAGGTGAGAAGGGGCCTGTGTCCAAATGTAGGCTGTAACAGGAGAGGCAGTAATGCAACTGCCCTCATTCATGGGAACACCCTGACCAATCTGCAGGCATTTATAACTCTGAGCAGCATGGGTCTGTCTTGCACCTAACTCCATGACTGATAGGACAGCACCTCTGCTAGGGACCTTGCTGGAGAAAAGAAAGCACTGGCACTAAATCATTCCACTCTCTTCTTGCAGAAGAGCATGTTTTCTTTGGAGCTCGTATCCTGCTCTAGGAATGACCAGGCCTGATCTGGCTTAGTCCACAACACCATTTGGGATCACAGCATGTGGTGGTTTGGCTCTGATGAGTAGCACAAGACAAAGCTATGTAGATGTATTCCCAGAAAGAAGATGGGTAGGGCTGGCTGCCAGAGAGGGGAACACACTCCTCCCACCCCACTGCTTGGGCCAGCTGCCTCTCTGTAGTCTGGGCAAGTGTCCCAGCCAGTCTGCCCTTTCCTTTGGGTGCCCAGCACTAGCCTATGATGCCTGGTACATTGCTTTGACTAAGGAAGGCTGTTAGAGTTGCTGCTGCAGCAGGCCCCCAGGGAGCTTGCCACAAACCTGCTTGACAGGCCCTGCTGAGCAACCCCAGGCCAGCTCCTGCAGAGGCTCCTCAGAGCACAAACACTCCACGCTTGACATTAAAGGCCAGCATGTTCACTCTGATGGCATTCGGGCAGCTGGGTAACTTGCACAAAATAGAGCCCTGCTCTAATGGCAATCATTAACCAGAGCCCTCAATTTGTTAAGCAATATATTTACACAGCTAGAGAATGGCCTGAGATATAAGCACCCAGCTGCAGGCAGGAGGGCGCACATGCTTGGATGCACACTCTGTCACACACCCGTGCTCACTTGCACACGCTCACCTGCTCTCAGATGCCTCAGGTTCTCCCCAGTACACATGCACTTCCCTGGACACTTGTCCACATCCCTCCATGCACACACAGACCTCCTCCTGACTTGGAAATTACAAGGAAAGCTATCCCTGCTCATACAAATCTTGTCCACTCACATCGTAACTCAAGCCAAGCAGGGCCTGAACTCCACTAGCATCCAGGAGACAGTCCAAGGGAGCACAGCTCATCACTTGCTCATGCAGCTATCCAAAGCAGAAGTTTCAGTACCTGCAGACACCCATGCTGCCTCATTGCATGCCTCATTTGAGTTAGATGAGCTCCTAAGGGAGCTAGCTTGTTTTACATACATTTCAAGCAACTCTGCACAGACCACCTCAGTCACACACACTTGTCAGCATGCACCCAGACACTCCTTCCCTCATATACGCACACCTACATATACACTCTTGTAAACCTGTACTGTAGTCACCAATTGTATTATCACCATTAAATACAGGTGGTAAATAAGCAACCAGGCTTGAAACATATCTGAAGCACATCTAAAGATGGTACAGATAGCGACTGGATGCAGATGCTTCAAAGATGACCAGTGAGATTAAACACCACAGAAGAAACACAGAATTTCAATCATATTAGCAGCCCTCAGAAAACAGAGTAACGGGCAACTGCTCCATAAATCCATCTGTAACGTAATTATACATTTCAGCAAGGAAAAAGTACATAGGAAGAAGATAAACAGGTAAAGGATAAATCTACCAATACAAAGCCACATTCCTCCTAGAAACCCATCCCTTACCCTTATGAAGTCTCGGAAAATATCCCAAATGCAGATTGTGAAATAACTTGGACTCATGATTCCACAGAAGTATGGTTCTCTTCTTCAGACAAAGCAAAAGCAAGCACAACTCCAAGCATGCTTTCAGCTGTGAGAGTAACAATCCCCACAGGAGGGGGGAAATGAAGTTACTTAACACAACAATGTCTTAGAAGGGAGTGGTGTGCTAGGGGTGATATGAAACTAAGTCCTGTTTAATAATCTTTCGTT